AAGATAAAAGTAGCCTCGCAGCAGTGTTTTTCACACACATCATCAAACAAGCTTTTATTAGAGTGTGAGTTCTTTAATCTATCACATTTAATGTGAGAAATGGAAGGGGGCTTTTATGCACACTTGGGTATATTTAATTTTATTTTACAAACATGTCCAAACTTCAAAATAATGAGGTCAGTAATCTCTGTGAGCCAAGAGTTCAGGCTTCAGACTGGCCAAACGCGTTTTGTTTTGTTTTGTTTTTCACTTTTAACTCTGTGTGACGTCAGTGAGAGCGGATATCCCTAATATGGTCATCTCAAGCATACACGCCTGACTGTGAGCACACAATCCCCACCTACCTGCTGTTTGCAAGGGGTAACCAATCAGAAGCAACTTGCCTTAAAGAGAGAGGGAAATAAGCTAAAATAGCTTTTTTAAGACAGTGGATGGTAGTAGTATTAGACATAAAATTATAATTTTGAGCTGTGAATCACAGAGCAACCTTAGAGTCCAAGAATTAAAAAAAAAAAATCAGAGATATGGCACTTTATTTTTTGTCCTGTCTCCTTCTGCTCTCTTTTCTTTCCCCTCCTCTTACCACCAACCAATCGCAGCAGATGGCTGCCCCTTCCTGAGCTTGGTTCATTATGAGGTTTCTTCCTGTTAAAAAGGAATTTTTCCTTCCCACTGTTGCTATGTGCTTGAGTCGTGTGATTGTTAGGGGTTCTTTCTAATATTGTAGGATTTATCTTACTATATAAAGCACCTTCAGGGAAATGTTGTTGTAATTTAGTCCAATATAAGTAAAACTGAATTGAATTATTAGGTGCTATTAAGCCTCCAAATGCCTTTTCTATCACTGATCTAAAACTGCAAGTAGAAAATATTTATGGTTAACTTACAGAGTGAACCACTGAATAGTATTTTATAAAATTAGATATAACTGGAGCCACAAAGCTTTTGTACTTATGACTCTGCAAACACATCATTTTAAAAGTCTACAATCAAGAGTTCATGAATGTAAATACAGAAGATCTTACAACAAGGTGCAGACAGCTGGTTACGCTAATGAATATGGGGCTAGATTAGACTTTGGCAGCAAGCATTTAAAGGCGCTTGCACAGTTCTGATGAACTTGTAGCAGAATGATGAGCAGAGACAAGTATGGAGGAGGAGAGAGACTGCTCATCATCCAAAGCATCTGTCAAACACAGTGGAGGCAGTGTTATCGCATGGCTGCAAAGGCAACCCAGGAGTTTCTCAAGGCCAAGCAGAAAAGCAAGGAAGGTCAAGCAGAACATCTCAGTGGATTCTAGACTTTATTCAACTATTAAGAACAATGTGCATCATCCAAACACTTAACGAACCTAAATGTGACAGATATAAAATTACGCATGCACATACCGCACTGCTGACACTTTTATTTATGATCTTGTTTGCATGTAGAATAGTATAATATTTGGTACTCTTAGTTTAGCGAAGGCAGGACTTTTGATCTTTGTTTGTTTGCTTTAAGTTTATGTTCAAAGCATTGCATGTTTCACCAGAATATAAAATAATTCAGTAAAAGTAAAGGTAAAGTAAAATAAACATTAAAAGGTTGTAGTTAGTAAACCGTTACAAATTTTGTCTGAACTTCTGTATATTTGTAAAGTTGAGTGTTAATGAAATCATTTATGATTGGAAACGAGTATTGATGTGTATTGTTGTGGCCGTTTTCTCTGCTCTGTTCCCTTTTGGAAGCTGAAATATTCCCCCGCAGAGAGCTCTTGTTTCTTTCTCGTCCCCTTAATAAGTCACATCCATTCTGTCTTAACAGCTGAAAATAATATCACATAAACAATGGCTGCTTACAGCAACACAGCTCAGCACTTAGTAATGTTAGCCGTTCATTGTGTTTGTGATTCACAAGTCAAAATGTCTGCTGTGAACCAGCTCTGTTTACCTGATAGGGTTTAAATTATATTAACCTTTATGCTGAGCCGCTCTGCTCTTTCATCACCACTGGAGAGCTGCAGAAACAGTGCAACATGGAAACTTGGGCACAAGTTTGCTCCCTGTTTCAGTTTCCTAATGATGAACATTTTATAAGAAGTCGAGCTGAATCCAAGTTGTTTCCTAGCAACAATACTCTGATGAGATGTTCTATAGTAACCATCATGATCTGTCTTTAGTGTTTTGTCTCCTATAGCTGAAACAGAAGCTGTTTCTGTAGTATGTTTTTTGCAAGATCTGACTTGACGTTTACTTGACAGTCTTCTAGAGCTAATGATTGCTCTGTTTCATAACACGTGTACATGCACGCACTGCAGAAAAGCTGAGAGAGTACAGAGCTCCTGCAGGACTAATTGGTGTTTAATTTTCTGTCTAAGACAAGCATGAGGTTTGGATAGAAACCCTGTGTAGTGTGTAGTGCAGCAGAGCGAGTCCACACATGAAGGTGTCAAAACTCTCCTTGTCTCGACAGGGAACAGGAAAGAGGGGCGTGCAGTGAAACGACTGTGAGAGGATCTCCAGAGCAGTAATTATATGTGGGTTCAGGTGACCGTCTTGGCTTTGGTTGATTCGTTTAACACTTTGTTGTGCTGGTTACCACCAGTAATTTTGTCTTAGGACTGTCTCTGGATTTAGTCCGATGAGTTTAACTGTTGTTTACAGGCAAGAGCTGCTTTCTGATCCAGCTCAAGACAAGAATTGTGCCTAGTGTAAACACAAAGTAGTGTTGCAGGAATTTAGTCAACATCAAGGTAGCAAAGAATAACTGAACTTGAGCCATATGCTGAATGTAAAATTTGAATCAGTGAATTATTACAAATAAATAAGAAAGATTTCTACATAATTTTTATGCATCCTGATAAAATTTGGGCTTTTGATGATTTCTTTGAGCTGCAAGTTTAACCCCCAGGGTGCTTTAGGGGTTCGGTTTGTAGGGTTTGATTACGGGTTTTGAGAAAACATTTGGACTTGCTCCACTGACAAAAGGCAGGAGACTGGAGACCAATTAACGGGGTTCAGCTGACAGCAGGAGGGAACAGAGAGAGAACAGATTATTACTGATCGGGGCATGGAGGTGAAGACAATCTGGCAACGTGTGCTGCACACGCCCACTTAATGTGGGGCTGCTGTCCAAGTGTGAGGAGAAGAATTGAGGTCTTTGACTCTGCCCTGAGGCAGACCTGCACTCCCGAGGAAAAAGTAAAAAGCAGTTTTAACAGCCCAGAGTATGCTACTATCACCTGCCACCATGCTTGACAGCTGTTCTTAGGTTTGAAAGCCTCACCTTTACTCCTCCAAGCATACCTTTTCTAACATCTGAAACTCCTTGTAAGCACTGTAAGCAGACTTGTGGGTAATTTTTGCAGAATGTTTTTCCCAAAGAAGAAAAACATGTGCATTAAAAAATTAATTATTGTCACTCAAATGCTGTCTTAACAATAACATTTGTCTTATTATTCTAAGCTGAGTGGCCACAAATTACTCATTTTACTCTGCAGCAGGCAGCAGTTTCTAATGAAGGTGCTCTGAAAACCCCACTGTAAAAACTCTGTTCAGCATCAGATAACAGACACAGCTGGTTGATGTAATGGAGCATGTCTGAAGAGCCTTAAAACAGAAATATGTGTGCATATTTAACTTAAGCCCAACTGAATGATGTTTTTGTCTTAAAAACAACACTCACACATCAAAATGCTTTCTCTATTATCTATTATCTTTTTCTATTAACTACACTGTGATCAACACAAGTTTTCTCCTATTTCTGTGTGACATGTTTCAGTACTTCATTGTACACTTTTTGCTGCAAACGTAATATGTTTTGACAAATATGAAATATTCTGAAATAACTGACTCATAAAAAAGCTGTTTTCAGTATTTTATATACATTCATCAGAACAGGTGGAAGACTGGAGCCTAGATATACATTAGAAAATTATACAGTATTCAATTCAAGGCTCTATAATAAATACATAAACACTCTGATTAGGGTTAAGACAATAGGAACATACCATCACCAGTTACTTTTAGGTACATTTGCTAATGACTGTCTTCATGGCATTCCTCAGAGATTTTGATCCACATTGACATGATGGCATCTCACAGTTTGTTAGCTATACATCCATCCAAGTGACTCGTGAGTATAGCAGCGTAATTAGATACACTGAAACCTGGAAATATATGTGTCCATTGAACATAATCATGTTATCTTAAACGTTCATTTGTTTCAACAGCTGCAGCTTTTGAGCTTCTTTGGAACCTAGTGTGTCGTACCTCCATATCATCATTATTATTATTATTAATATATGTCATTCTCAGTGTGTTTTCTTTATAAATATCAATGTCACTCATGTGCAAAATAAGCAAATTCGCAAAACAGTTAAGTCATGTCAAGTCTATGTGTTCACATTTTGGCTTCAGTGCCCTCAAGCTAAGGTTTAAGCTAAGGTTGTCAAGAAGCGCTGTGTGGAAGGCAGGAGCCAGACCCAAAATGCAGGCGCTCAGGCACAAGGTTTAAACACAAAGAACTCAGCTTTATTTGCTGGCAGGGGAAGTCATACAAAACTAAACTGGGGAAAATATGAACTACAACTTACAGAGAGGAACATGAGGAAACACACAGCTTGAGGGACAACACGACACTGACGCAGAGAAACACAGGGTTTAAATACACTGGGAAGTAACGAGGGGAATGAGACACAGAAGGAGAGCACAGCTGGGAGAAATCAGAACTGATGAGACAAGGAAGCAAAGCAGAACACATTCACATAAGACACAGACCTTCAAAGTAAAACAGGAAGTATAACACGGAGACGCGAACTTGACACGGTGGAGACAGCAACTAAGAAACACAGAGACTTACACGGAACAGAGGGGGCACAGAGAAACATGAAGGGCAGGGGATCAAAACTAGAAACCATAGAATAAATCACACGAGTACAAAATACAAAAATCACAAAGAACTAAAAACGCTGGTTCAGGAGACCCAGGATCCTGACAAAGGTAGTGCCAAATACACCACTTTAGTGTTGTTCTACACAGAGCACCACATGGATATCAATACGCACATGAAAATAGTTCTTGACAAAACTTAGACTGCAGTATAAATGGCTTGACTGCCTTGGACAGTGTAAGGGTTTTTGAAAAGTGCTTAGACACACTTGTTATGTGTTTTCAGAGCATAAAGAATAACTCAGACGAACCTCGTGTTTAGCTGAGATTTCTGTGGGTGTGGCTTCACCGTGGGCGTGGTCACTGAAGGTCTAGGTATTGAGGCAGGACATCGTTCCAGAACTGCTGAGAGTCCTCAGCTTTCGCCCCCCTGCAGCTCTCTGCCTGGTCCTCGGTGCTGGTTTGGGTGCTTCTTTCTGTTTGCTGCTTCTGTCTGGTGGCGGTTTCTGTCGCTTCTCTTTTTTTTTCTTTGCTAATTTTGCTTGGTCCTCCTCTTCCTCATTCTCCTCCTCCTCTTCTTCATTTTCATCTCCTTCTTCCTCTTCCTCAATTCCCTCTTCTTCTGCCTCCTCCTCCTCCTGGTTCTCATTTCCCTTTTCCTTATTCTCTTCATCCCTTTCTTCTTCATCACCCTCTTCCTCACTATCCTCATCTTCATCATCAGTTTCCTCATCATTACCTTTCATGTCTTTCCTTTTTCCTCTTAGCCTTGTCTGTTTTTGCTGTTCTTCCTCTTCTTCCCCTTCCTCCTCACCTTCCCCCTCCTCCCCCTCCCCTTCATCACTCTCTAACAGATTTTTTTTAGCAGGCTCCATGCTTTTATTTTTTCCTTTTGATTTCTCCTCTTCCTCACTTTCATTCTCTTCCTCAGCTTCTTCTTCTTCATCCCCTGTATCCTCCTTCTCTTCCTCAGCTTCTGTTTCTTCGTCCCCTGTATCCTCCTCCTTCTCTTCCTCTTCTTCCTCAGCTTCTATGTCTTCGTCCCCTGTATCCTCCTCCTCTTCTTCCTCTTCCTCTTCTGCAGACTCTTCCTCCTCCTCACTCTCTTCTTTGTCCTCATCCTCTCCATCTTCTGTCTCAGCTTCCCCATCACCTACGGACTCACTTTCTTCCCTTTCCTCACCTCCTTCTTCCTCTTCTTCTTCATCACTTTTTTCATCTTGGAGTTCCTCTTCATCAGCCTCGCTATCTTCTTCTTCCTCTCCCTTATCACTGTCTTGCTCTCCTTCACTCTTATCTGCCTCTTCATCTTCAACCGAGTCCTTCTCCTCATCCTCATTTTCTGTGGAGGCATCATTTTGTTCCTCAGTTTCGCCCTCTTCATCTTCATCATTTTCTTCTTCTTCAGTTTTGGCAGATTCTGCAGTGTCTCCTTCCTCTCCGTCCTCCTCCCCCTCTGACTCTCGGTTCGTGCTCTCATCGCTCTCTGATTCATCACCGCTTTTCTTCTCTTCATCCTCACTCTCCTTCTCTTTATCCTCTTTACTCTCTTCATCACTGGACTCTTCATTTTCACCTTCCTCCTCTTCCTCCTCAGCTCCTTCACTCCCATCAGAGTCACTCAATCCATCACTTGTCTTCTTACTGCTTTCTTCCTCTCCTTCAGTTTCAGCAGCATTAGTTTTATCACTTCCTTCATCTTTATCACTCCTGCTTGTTTTCTCGTCACCCTCTTCTTCCTCAGATACATTATCTTCCTCTCCCTCTCCCGTATTGCTCTCCTCTCCTGTTTCTTTGTCACTACTACTCTCACATTCTTCCCTTTTATCTTCACTGTCACTTCCACTCTCGACATCTTCATTCTTTCCCCCATCCTCAGAATCCTCATCCTCTCCAGATGCCTTGTCGGATTTCTCCTCCACTTCTTTTTGTGAATCTTCCATGTGTTCACCCCTGATATGCTCAGACAGGCCCCCTTTCACTGCCTCCCCCTCTGATGGATCACAACTGCTGTCATCATTTTCTACTTCTTGGGATTCATTTACAGATTCCGATGGAACACCAGCTTGAGCATCTGTCTTCAGGCCATCCTCCGTTTCATTCGAGGAAGAAAAATGTGACAATGTGGAGCACAAGGACGGCTCCGTAACTGCACTCTGCTTCGTGAATTGTCTGACTTTACTGAGCGTTTTAGAGGGTGTCGAGGTGGCTTTGTCACTGTCAGACTGCACACTTGTCACTGCCTCACGAAGGACCTCAATAGCTGCACCTGCAATCCCAGCAACTGGAAGAAGTGACGCTGAATTACTGAGAATTTCTCCCCAATTTGTTTTTCCCCCATTCTTGCCCCAAGTGTCCTCTTCATCTGTTTCAGAAACACGGGAATCCATAACAACAGGCTTAGCGCCTCGCAGGGGTTTTGCAGCTCTAGGAGAATCCACCTCTGGGCTTTGAGGGGAAATTGGGTTACCTCTCACTTCTGTAGGTGTATCCTGCTGAGATGACGGCAGGCTGGAAGCTTCACTCTTTGGTTTAGCCTTCATCTTATTCTCAGAGTCAACATCCCCCTCACCTTTAACTCTGATTTCCTCTTCCTTGCCTCCTCCTCTTCGTTTTGTTTTTGCCCTCTGTTCAGCACCGGATTCCTTTGCCGTCTTTTTGTCCATTATTTTTGACAATTTCTGCTCATCCACAGTTCCACCTTTCATCTTCAGAGTGGCGTCTTTGGCACAATTTAACTCATTTTCCTCACACTTTTCTTTGCTTTCACCTTCAATGAGGGGATTTTCTGCACATTTACTTTGATCCTTGACTGGTGTTGGTTTAAGCTCTTGCAATTTTCCCTTAACTTGCAATGGTGTTTTTCTGGAGACAGATTTCTTGGTTTCAGCCTTAAAAGGTGTTGTGTTTTCTTCCTGTGCTGCTGGCGATTTAGCATCCACTCCTGGTACAGATTTAACCTTGTGCTGATCTTTTGTTAGAGTCGATTTGACTCGCCGTGTCCCCCGACTCGCCACTTCAACAGGTTTGACGTCATCACTTCCCCTCTGAGTTGCTTCATTTTCCTTTACGCCATTTTCTGTGGATGCTAGACTGGCTGCTTGATTCACTTTACTGACCTTGATAGAAGGAGATTTCGGATCTAAAGATGATGATTTCTTTGTCTCCTTTTTTGGGGTCCTTGTCAAGCCTTTCTTCAGAGAGCTGTTATCCTCTTCATTCGGTTCATTACTTTCTCTCAAATCCTCAGTTTTCCTCGTCTTGTGCTTCACTTCAGTCACTCTCTCCTGTGCATCTGTCAGCGTCTGTTGTGTTTTTGTGCTATGCTCTGACGGTTTCCTCTTATCTTGCTGTGATGATTTAAAATGCGGGAGCTGCTTTTGAGCTTGCCTGTTTTCTGAAGGTTTGATGTTGCTGGACTCCTTGGTGATGTTCTCTTTGCTGTTTGAAGTCACTTTGTGATTTTTCTTTGTGCTCTTCAGAGGAGACACTTCTGTCTTCAAGGTGCTGGGGCCCTTCATAAGCTCTGTTGGCAAAACCTTAGGGGAGTTTCGGTCGGTCTTCTCGTTAGTCTGGATCTGTTGTGCAAATGGTTCTTCTTCCTTTACTGCATGTCTAAAAGCTCTGCCCTTTTTCTTTCCCTGTAACAAATCACATAAGGATTCAGAAAGATATAATACGAAAAAGAAAAGTAGATTAAAGAAGGAAAGCTGCACAAGCGGAGCGGCCGTCAGTATAACTGCATATGTAATTTGTTCAATGTTTTATGTGTTTTTAATGCTTTAAATATCATCTTACCTACCTACTGTACTTGCACCCTACTATTATAGACTACTAGAGGTATATTTCAGTGGTTTTCAAAGTGTAAATAGAATGTCAGGGCAGACTCGTATAATTAGTTGCACTGAAGACTTTAGTAGGTGTGCACGAATAATTAGTGTCAGCAGTTTGGTGAAATATATTCCCCTTCTCTTCCCGAGTTATGGCACTGACAAAAAGTGAATGAAAAAAAGTGTTTCTGCTGAAAATTATGATGTCACAGTGAACCCGCCTTTTGACCACCAATGACTGTAAAAGTTCTGTTAAATCTCAACGATTTCAATGTCAATTCATGCTAAATTACACATATATAGATTTCATTTGTAATACCAAGAATCAAGCATAACACCACAAAGTCAAGCTCGGATACAGTCCCAGTGGATTACCTGATGCCAGCATAAATCCACTGTCTGTGATGTCTTAGCTGAAACTTTTCTACATATTGAAGTAGAAAATCTTTCACAGGGTGTCACTGAGGTGCTATTTAATCACACAGCAGCCAGTCTGCCATTGTGAGGTGTTTAAAAACAAGTTCAGCACCTCATAAACCTTCTCTCCAAAATTGATTGTTTTCATTAAATACCTATGTATAATACAATATTTTATTCTCTTGATTACTGATTATTTTAGAAAACATACTGGCAGGGATAGCTCAGTAGGTAGAGTGGTGGTTCGACTCCACTGAACGGCTACCCTGAGGTACCCCTGAGCAAGGTACCGTCCCTACACACTGCTCCCCGGGCGCTACACTGGTGGCTGCCCACTGCTTCACTGGGTGAATGGGTTAAATGCAGAGGAACTATTTCCCTATGGGGACTAACACGCACACTTTACACTTTTACACTGTCTCAGACTGACGCTGAAAAACTAGTTCTAGGCGGGACTACTGTAATTCGTTATAATCAGGATGTTGTAAAAACTTCCTAAAAGGCCTTCGGTTAATCTAAAATGGTGCAGCAAGAGTACTGACAGGGACTAGAAAGCAACAGCATATCTCTCCTATTCTGGCTTCTCTTCATCTGGCTGCCTGTTAAATGCTGGATCGAATTTAAAATCTTTCTCCATGCATACAAGGTGTTGAATAATAAGGCCCCATCTTATCTTAATGACCTTATAGCACTGCATCACCCCAGCACAGTACTGCACTGCCAGACTGCAGGTTTACTTATGGTTCCTAAAGTATTTAAAAGTATAATGGGAAGCAGAGCCATCAGCTTTCAGGCCTCTCTTCTGTGGAACCAGCTTCCAGTTTGAATTCGGGAGACAGACACTATCTCTACTTTTAAGATTAGGCTTAAAACTTTCGTCTTTGATAAAGCATATATTTAGGGCTGGATCAGGTCACCGTGAATCCTCCCTTGGTTATGCTGCAATAGGTTTAGGCTGCTGGGGAATTCCCATGATGCATTGAGTTTCTCTTTTTCAGCCACCTTTCTCACCCACTATGCGTTTATACACTTCTCTGCAATCATTAGTTATTAGTCATCTCTGGAACTCTGCCACTGCGCGTCTTTGTACCATCTTTCTCCCCTCACCTCCAACCGGTAGCGGCAGATGCCAGTCCCTCCCTGAGCCTGGCTCTGCTGGAGGTTTCTTCCTGTTAAAAGGGAGTTTCTCCTTCCCACTGTCACCAAAAAGCTTGCTCATAGGGGGTCATATGATATGTTTTCTCTGTTTTCTCTGTGTTATTGTAGGGTCTTTACCTTACAATATAAAACACCTTGAGGCAACTGTTGTTGTGATTTAGCATGATATAAATAAAATTGAAATTTCTCTCACACTTAAAACTCACACATGTGAGGACACACATACAGTACTGTGCAAACACAAATACACAAATTTACCCCTGCAGTGAGGACAGGATTGCTGGGGGGGGGCACCACATGTTGCAGTAACCCATAGCACACAGCAAAGTAGGAGACTCTTTCTCAACTTGCTTCATCACTGGTTGTGGAAACACTGATGAGATGTGGCAAGATTCCTGAGAACTTTTCCAAAGCACTGCATGTGTGTGTGTGTGTATCCGTGTGTGTGTTTGTGCATCTAGGGGCTGGAGCCCAAACAAATTTGTGTATCAGCAGAAGCTGTCCAAATATCTGAAACTGGCTGATGAAGATTCATTAGAGATATTCAATTTTATATTTTTCTTCATTGTTTTACCAAGTGGAAAATTTCTTTACACACACACACACACACACACACACACACACACACACACACACACACACACACACACTTGCAAGAACACACACACATACAGTATACACAGCACGTATGCTGATGTATGCACATTTCCTGGAAAAAGTCAGAGTGTTCTACGTTGCTGCTTCCTGCCCTGCAGTGCATTTAATCCAAACCAGAGAGAAGAAGCCAGAAGAGGAAAATAACAGTCGTCTCACTCTACATCTAAGACTCTGTGGACTATACTGTATTTATCTGCTCTATCTAAGAGAAACCATCGCATAATGAGCCATCAAAAATGTCTTCTCTCACCATATATGGTGAAAAGACTTCTTTCTCCTCCACTTCTTCAGTGATTATTTGTCTCTTAACATTTCCTGAAATAACAGACAAAATTAGGTTAAACAGCTTAAACCCGCTCAAGCATCAGCTAAAAGCTGGCTATAACATTTATTGCCACTTGTTGAAACCATAGAATTCAAGTACCTGTTTGTGTTGGGGCAGAATGTTCTTCCTCCTTTAGATTTTTAATGAAAACATTACTGGGGGGTCTAGTCGGGGTGTAGGGCTCTTTAGGTGGCACAGGAGATGAGAATTTGTTACTTAGAGGCTTCTTAGTGGCTGCTGCTCGGTTTAGTCTAGGCTTTGCAGTCATTTTAGTAGCTACAGGACTGCTGGGGTTTAATTTTGTTATAGACTTTGGTAAAAGCAAAGGAGAGGGCACCTTTTTGCATTTAGACTTAGAAGAAGCAGACGTGGATGCTTTACTTTGAAGCGTGAATGATGATTGTGAATGTGGGGTTGATGCCTTAGAGGATAACAGTGGACTCTGAGGGGATATGGATCGAGATCTGGGGGAGAGAAGTGGGCTTCCTGTCACCTCTGATTTTGGTTTAGGGGATGATGAAGGGGTAGTAGCATCATTTGAAAGGGTTTTCAGAGTTAGGGAATTTCTGGATCTTTGCCGAGATGTGTTGAGAAAGTCAGAGTTAAGCCGTGGGAGGCTCTGAAACTTATCCCCAAACAACTCCACAGAACGAACCTGAAAAATAGGAAACGAGATTCTCGAGTTTAAGTTTGGAAATGCATCTATGGAGCGTCAGCAACCAGTGGCAGATTTGCAGTGTGGTGCAACACTGCCCCCTATTGATATAATACAGGTCATACAAGTTTTCCAAGGGGTTCTGCAAGCATGGGTTTCAAATGTTTAACGTTTTATTATCGCATAAAATACACTTAAATACCTGTTTCATGACTGCACAGGTCAAATAAAAAATAAAAGAAAAAAAATCAATTCCACCCCAACCCCTTTACTGATTTCTTTTTTCAACATGCCTGCATGTTTATCACACTCAGGTCCTCAAATAAAATTTAATATTAGACAAAGATAACCTGACTAATTACAAAATGCACTTTTTAAATTCATTAAGGAAAAAAGGTATCTAAACATGCCTGGCCCTGTGTGAAAAAGTAATCTGCACCCTTGTTGAATCATGAATTAACTGTGGTCAACCACATTTTTTTGGAAGTCTGATCCATCCATTGGAGAGCACCAAGGAGAAAACCACTGCTGATGTAAAACAACACAAAGGTTCGTCTCACTTTTGCCAAAAAACATCTTGAGAACCAGGGGACATGGGAGAAAAAAAAATTAAGACGGACTTTTGCGAGATCTCGCAAAACAAACTCGGGATCTCGCAAAACAAACTCGGGACTCGCAAAAGTTTTAGCCGCATTCTTAACCTCCCGTTAACGGGAGGTTGAGACCTACTACAGCCGGGTGGAACACCGCTTTCCCGGCACATCGTGCCTCGACCTCCCGGTTGGCTTCGAGCCGGCGTCCGAAGAATGCGGCTAAAACTTTTGTGAGATCTCGCAAAAGTCCGTCTTAATTTTTTTTTCTCCCATGTCCCCTGCGGGGCTCCGTAGAAATCCAATGGAGATCCAAAATGCTAGAAAAAAACCCTCCAATGTGGCTGAATAAAAAAAAAATCCTGCAGAGTGGGCTAAAATCCCTCTGCAGAGATGTAAGACTTATTGCCAGTTATCACAAATACGTGAATGCAGTTCTTGCTGCCCAAGTGTGGCACAACCAGTTCTTAGGTTTAGGGGGCGATCATTTTTTCATTCAGGGCCAAATAGATTTGGGTAACTTATTTCCATGAATTAAACTATAACATAAAAAACAATTATTGTAGGGTCTACCTTACAATATAAAGCTCCTTGAGGCAACTGTTGATGTGATTTGGCGCTGTATAAATAAAATTGAATTGAATTAAGTGTTTTAAAAATGAGCAGTAAGTTGAAGGGTCTCACTCTGTCTCGGTGGCGTGCCCGGGCTGAGAGGGCTGAGAGTGGTGATGGTGGAGTTGGACTGATGAACTTGTTTTTAAAGATGATTTTGGTAAAACTTGACTCCAGAAAGTAGTCTGCGATTAAGACATCCTTCTCTGGCACCACTTCTTGGCTCTCTGCTGGCCTGGGTGTAGCCACGACCAGCATGTGGTGACCACCGCACGACACCTGACGGGGAGAGAGGACACAAGAAAACATCTTTGTTACATTTAGCTGATTAACTCTCAGTCTGCTCTTCACTCATTTACCTGCTGACATACAGGATATTACTCCCTCAAGGCTACAGCAAGATTGTTTTCGAGATTACGTTTGCCTTACTTTGAGAGAAGTTTACCTCTGATGTATCTAAGAATACTGCTCCCTATGAACAATCAGCTGCCAAATAGGAGAAAGCCTGCAGATGCAAAGAAAGGCGATATGATGTGACACTACACGATCCATTCAGAGCTCATTACTCATTAAAAGGCTGATCTCTGAAAGTATCCAGGTGCTGGCTGTGAGCACAGCTTCAGCTGCTCTTCCTGGGGTGATTGGTGAAGAATATTCTGTTATCGATCACTGATGGTGCTGTGGATACATCCTGCTGTAGTAGGCTTCCTGTTACAAGCTGTGGTGCCTCTCATACATTTTATGGCCTTTTTGGAGGGAGTTGACTGATTATGAAGATTACTTTTAAAGCCCTTCACATCACCTTCACTTACTGACTGAACAGCGTATTGAAGAAAACGTGTGCAGAGTGTCGGGCTGAACTGGTTGATGAAGTTTTCCTCCCCTAACCCGAGTTTTCCATGACGACCATCACCAAACGTGTACAGCAGCCCACTGTCTGTGGAGCAGGGGGAGGATAAATGCATCAAACACAGACTGAAGGTTTTCTATCCTGGCTGAAGTCGTTTTGCTTTTAACACATTTTATAAACAACAAAATCCTTGATTTTTATTTAATTCCCTTTTTAAATGCACATAGGAATGAAAAGTTTGAATACTGAATATTGGTTTTTAGTACATTGTTTGGCTGAAATTAGATTTATCATTTAGTTAACTGACAAAACTTGGATTTATCTACCCCCTCGAAAACTGACTCACATGTGGTGATAATCAACTGAATACCTCTAGAGGCAGACAACATCTGAGAAAGTTTATGAAATTAGTCACTTTAGCAAATTCTAGAGAAAGCTTGTGAGTTGCTGAACTTGCATTTGAACACCTCACAGTGGCAGACTGGCTGCTGTGTGATTAAACAGCACCTCAGTGACATGTTTATGCTGGATGGGGAAAAAAGAGATTCCACTTCGTCTTCATCATCAGTTAATTTGTTTTATTTACCTCACTAATGGTACTTTTAACCTGATTACAGGTTTGTTGCTGTGTGTTTAATTATGCATGGTACACAAGTCATATGTCCTAAAGAAGTTTGTTTCTTGAACTTATCACAGAAAAACTTTTTTAAATAATTCCTTCCTTAAAGCTTGTAGATATATTATATTCCATTAAAAGAGTTATTATTGGCCTTTATATGCTTTCATATATAAAACATGCATGGACATCTAAAAAGGTGAATGGGAAATGCTACTTTTAAAGTCACAATGACCTTCAAAGATGGCTTACCTGTGACCACAGCTGTGTGGTTCTCTCCACACGCGATGTGTCTGACCTTGCTGTTACAAAAGTGCTGCAGCGCTTTTGGCAAATGAACCTCAAACAGAAATGTTCCGTGGCCCAGCTGACCGTACTGACCTCTGCCGAATGTGTACACGTTCTTCTCTGGCACAGCAAAGCAGACAGAGGGAAAGAACCCTTTTGATTCAAAGCGATGTATAGTACATTTACTCAACTACTGTACAAGAGCACTATTTTCAGGGGAATTTATTTTGATGTTCTTCTTCATTGTGTCTGTGCTACATTTGAGCTGAGATCACTTATTCTGTCCCTTAAAGTGTCTAACATAATCAAACAAGTTGAGTTCTGTGGCAGATTTTAAAGAAGGAAACACGATGTGATCACCACATGTGTTTTACAGTTAAAATCAGCCCTACTTTGATCAGCTGACATTAAATGTTGCATACATATTAATGCATACAGTAAAAGCGATAGTATTTTCTCCTTATTTTTTCCCACAATAATGTGAAAATCATTATCAGGCACACTGATACTTTTGCTTAAGTTAAAGACCTGAATACCTTTTCCATCGCTGTTTAACCAGCTCCTTTCACAGATGTTTTATGCTTTTCTTTAAAAATAACAAATTGTTAGCATACCTGTGAGGACCACTGTGTGCTCTCCTCCACAGCACACTCGGGTGACACGACCCAGGACTCCCTGCACCTGCTGAGGAATTCTGTGATTGGCCAGCTGCTCCTCCTGAAGACCGAGTCTTCCATTCGCACTCTCACCAAACGTGTAGAGGCGACCATAAACTGGGACAAATCCAACACAATAAATGACACAAGTATTGAAGACTGGTTCATTTAACATTGGACCTACTGCAGTGATGCATGTGGCTGGACTGCGTTGTACCTGTCACAAAAGCTGAGTGCTTATACCCACAGGACACCCATATGACTGCTTCTCCAACGTGGACCTCTCTGGGTTCTGCAGCAAATCCCTCGTCCCCAAAAGAAATCTGACCCACAGAGTTGTCCCCCCACATGAACAGCCTCCCATCCTCTACCAACACACATACGTACATACACTTTACATATGCCCAGATCATCTTTTCTAGCAGAGAAACTTATTATATCGTCATTGTTCAAACCTGTTAAGGCGGCTGAGGTGTTGCATCCTGCAGAAAGCATTTTGATTGGTGCCCAGTCGCAGAAGGGGCGGAGCAGGTGAAAGTATGTAGACTTGTCACAATGGCCTAAACCCAGCTGCCCGTCCTGGTTGCTACCTGCACTGTATACACTGCCATGAACTAAATATACAAGTATACTAATTTTGAGGACAACAGTGTTCATGGAAACATCTCTCACGTGTAATTAAATATTTGTTTATTGTCTCACATGTGCAAACAATTGTGTGGTCTCTCCCACAAGCTGCAAGCTTCACCTTCTCAGACTTCAAGGCTGGAAAGGAAATGCAGTAATTATAGTGAGTAAAATGGCTTCAAAATACCACAATTATCTTCTTGTTAATGGACTAACAAATTCTGGTTCTGGTCATTAGTTAACAATTAAAAATAATTCAAATTTATCACACATTTTCTCAACTTTCTGCCTTTTTTGTCTCACATTTTTTTGTCTTTTATGTGATTAGAATCACAATACCAGAGGAAACTATGTGGTCACAATTGCTCCAAGACAGTAAGAACAGTAACAATACAACACAACTGGTTACATACAAGTAATATATAAGTTACAAAATATAACAAAATAGCTTGAATAGATACAAATAGCTCTAATTATAAAGATCCCAGTATATATAACTGTATTGCACTGTACTCTATATTTTGGGGCTTAGATTAACAAAATAAGTCATGTGGGCTTATTTTTTTTATGCTTTACACAAAAAATAACTAGTTTGATGCAATATGACCCAGCCACGGTGAAAAATACTAACCTTTCACAGAGGTTGGTTTCCTGGCACTAGGCTTAATTCTCAACCCCAGCTGGCCCCATGTGTTGCCACCAAACATCAGCAACCTCCCATTTTCTGTAACGCCATTGCAGGCACAAAAAGAATGTTATTAGTGAACAATGTCAGCTTTCATTACTAAAATATACATACAGTGTACCTGTGATAACAGCAGAGTGCTCTCCGCCACATGACGTTTTCTTTGGATGGTCATTCTTCAGCCAGAACTTGCTGGGAACATTATTAGCAAAGCTGGTCCTTCCAAATGTGAAAATTGCTCCTGTTTCTGGTAACAGATGGACAAATACAGAGCTGTGCAAAGGTCTTCAGCGACCTCTTTTTTGTAATATATATTTTGCTATGAAAATGGGAAAGAGGTGCAGTTATCTATTGAAACATGCAAACATACATGGAAATACACCATTATAAGGCAAAAAACAAGTCTGTGTAATTCTTACAAGCTTGGAAGTTGATATTAGACCACCTTTATTCTTAAACACAGTCTGAACTCTCACAGCCCCAAACCATGACACAGGGTTCACACAGGGTTTTACAGATGGTTGTACCTCTTTCCTGACCTCCTCTGTATTTTGGCAATTATTTGAACGAAAAATTTCATATTTGGATTCATCACTGCATAAGAGCTGCTGCCAGACCAGTTATTTTGCAATTTGACCTCAGCCTTTTCTCCTGGTTTCACTTCTTTAATAATGGCTTCTTGACAGCCACCCTTCCACTGAGAATATTTTTGATGAGACTTCAGTGAACAGTAAATGGATCAGCTGAAGGGCAGATGCATCTTTCAGTTCCTGTGTCAGGTCTTTGCTGGATTTCTCAAGGACATGATTTTCAGATACTGCTTATCTTCTGTAGATGGTTATTAAGCCTGCTACCTTCTTTTATCTTACAACTGTAAAGTTTCCTCAAATTTTTAAGAACACACTGCACACCATGATAAGATCTTTTTTAGGTTTTTGACAAATAGCTCTTTAGGAATCATCTTGTGGTTGCAACAATACTGTTTCATGCCTATCAAATATGTTTTCTTTGACATTTTTTATATGATTTAAGGTGCCAAAGAAATGGGAACAAATTGTGTTTTATGACAAGCTGTTAAATTAGGTGTCTTTTTAATGCTTGTGTTTCATAAGTCAGTGTTAACTGGCTTAACAACAATAACAAACAAACAAATAAAAATTAAAATATCCCCCTGAAAACGGTCAGGCATAGAGACTGGACTGAAAATAAATGAAACAGCAGCTAGTGTCCTAAAGAGAACTATTGCTCAAAGACATGGTTTTAGGTGAGAAGCGGTTCAAGAATTTTGCACATTGCTGTCTGTGATTCATCTCTAGAAAGCCCAGGGACAGAAAGTTTAAGTACTTCCCGAACTTAACACCCACTAAATCCCAGCCAAGCCTGCTGTCAGAGCTCAAGCCATTTAAGTATCAGCAGGCTGACAGAAATAGAAACATGCTATCCGTGAGCAAAATGGAGCCTGTGTTAGGTATGATTAGGTGTGCATGAAGCCAAGGGCTTTATAATATGTAGCAAGGCTCACCTGGTATGTCGACATCGGTCTGCCCGGTCATCTTCACTGCTGGCTGTCTCCCTCACACCTCCTCACCTTGCGGCTCCCTGCTGATTAGGTAGATCAAACCCAGGAGGACAGGTGAGAGAGAGGGGGAAAGAGAGAGAGAGGCAGGAAGAGGCTTAGCCACAGGAAGATGCTGCATTACGGTCATTTTATTTTATTATATATTATTGTTCCCCCAAAAAATATTCCCTGCTTCCCCAACAAGAAACTTTGGGTAACCAAAGACATTAAAGCTGTACTGAACAAGAAAAAGACAGCTTTTAGAAACAGGGACAAAGAACAGTTGAAACTGGTGCAGAAGGAGCTTAAAGCCAAGATTGCTGAGGGAAAGGAGTCTTACAGAAGGAAGCTGGAAAGCAAACTCCAAGAAAACAACACCAGGGAGGTGTGGAAGGGAATGTGGACCATTACTGGCCAGAGACAAAAGAAAGGTGTGGGAATAGATGGAGACGTTGAATGTGCAAACAAACTAAATCTGCCTGCGTCTTCTGTCTCCACTCCCAGCTCTTACGATCTTCTCCATTTTCCTCCCCCCTGTCTTGCCCCCTCAGCCTGTCTCTCTTTGTCCCTCTCAGCAGATGAAATCACAAGGGAACTGGGCAGACTCCATTCCAGTAAAGCTGCTGGCCCTGATGGTGTGTGTCCCAGAGCCCTCAGGTGCTGGGCTGCCCAGCTGTCTGGAGTTCCAATTCAAATTTCAAAATGAAATTTTATTTGTCACACACACAACCATACACAGTATGACATGAGGTGAAATGCTTATTGCTGTGCAATGCCCGACCATTAAATTATAGAATTGACAGTAATATTTACAGATTACTACAAAAAATTACAGCTTTAATTTAGAAATTTACAGTAAGATGTGCAAATAACAGTTTATGTAAGAAATTATTAATAAAAAGAAATTATAAATTATAAGAAGCGTGCAAAAGGAAAAACCAGAGTGCGTGTGGAGATGTGAGGTGTGTGAAAGAGTCCAGTATCTTATGTAGTTCATATGTATAATCCACAGATTAAAACAGTTGTTTGGCTAAAAATTGTCGAATTTTTTCCAGGTTCCTGGAAAAATGGAACACGAGTTTTAAAGACAAGGTAGCCAGGGAAGCCAGAGACCTTAAAGAGACTTGTCTTCTAAAAAGATTGCTGAAATCGGCCTTGAACAAAGGAAGGGATTATGCTGATGAGCCAGGTAGTGTCCCAAGGTAACATTTTATTAATGTAGTGATTTTAGTTTTCATTTTTAAAAGTTATTTAAAAAGCAGTAGTGTGCATAATGTGTGTATGGATCACTTCTTTTCTGCTCATACCCTCAACCAGACATGGCTTCTCTTCTTGTTTTGCTGCATCTTCTCACGCCACAACCAGCTGGAAGGAAACGTCCTAAGAAGATGAGTGTTGGATCCAGTTCCACATACTGTGGTTCATGGAACACCTTTTCTTAACCTAAGGGGCTTATAAAGTTATGCTTTTTATTGTGTTTCAGTCCTACCAGAGCCTTGAGGATCACCTCATGAATAATGAAGGAAACCCCCAGCCATATCTCCTGGCCACAGGGACTTAGAAAGCACAGGTTTTCAGCTTCTACATTGTCTTGGATCGGAAGCTTCTTCCATGTCAGTCATGCACATCACTGCGTGCATTTGATGAGCTGTTCAAGTGTCACTTCGTTGACGTGTGAAATATGAAGACACTCTGTCCAGCCTGCACACATTTTTGCAGACCTCTGTGTACAATATTGATGTAGGCACAACAGCGGGAATTCATTCATCTCATCTCATCCCAGAAGATGATTTGCACTGGCATTTGTTGCACATTCTAAACATCGTTTTCCCAATCTCTATCACTGACGGAATGACTGTGTATTTAAAGCACCTGATTATTGTACACCATAGACTCTTTAGAGAACTATACCCATCAAGCAACTTAATTCCAAAACATCATTTCATGGTCCACTATCCGAGGTGCGTTCGAAAGATTGGTCCTCTCATTCATATCTGGACCATGAGATTTGAAGCCAAACACAAATTTTTCAAAGACTGTATTAAGAACCTTAAGAATTTGACTGCACCACTTTCAAGGAAACATCAATTTGCATTAGCTTATCATTGGGAATGTATGAGTTTAAAAGCAGTTGAGTCTGGTCCAGCTAAAATGTGTTTGAAGAATACTCAGAAATTATATCTCCATATCTTCATGTTGATTTAGACCACTGTCAAACTCACACACTGGGTAATGTGTATTGGTGTTGAATATATTGTTGGGCTTTTTGTTTGCACAGGTGTAACATGGTAGACTAATGTGCCTGGATTAATTCATCTCCATATTATTGTGTGAAGCTGCACTGGGTTGGGAGTGGTTGTGTGTGTCACATTTACAGTGAGCCAATGGCTATAATGGAGTTGGACTAATTAGAGGCAGGTGTAATTGATTGCACTGATACATTGGTCTACTTATAGCCCACACTACAAACACTGCTGTGTTAGTTTGTCTCTCTGTGCAGGTATGTAATGTGCTGAAACCTGTTCTGTTTGGGATGGATGGGTTGTGTGCTGTGAATTATATAGTGAAGGTGCTATTTTGTCTCTCTGTATAGGCCAGTGCCTATTATATGCCACAGCCTAAAGGCAGCCGAGTTGCAGAGGCCGGAGTGACCACTGGCTATCTATTTACAGGGTGGTAGGTCTCATAGGACAACTGCTAACCCTGTTCAAGTTAATGTGTGGAGTTCAACTGGCTTTGTGGCATAGCTGGCTCCGGACTTGGACTGTGTGTTTTTACTTGGTCCACAAATGGGACACTGGACTGTTTAATCTGTTACCTTTTGATTATTGTGTTAATAAATTATCTTTTAGAATTTTATTAACTGTCATCGTTTTACCCACGGCTGAGACAGTTGGTCAGACCTAGAATCTTTGTGTGTGTTACACAGGCACTTATGAAAACATGTCAGCTTTCAGCAAGATAGCTTTGATCATTTTGCATGATGGTAAAGCTGTTTTTGTTATGGTTGAGCATGAAACATGTTTCCATGATCATTTTCATGCTTTTCAAGTAAACGAAACCATTCTTAAGAAGATACTGGCCCTAGAAAGGGAGAAATTAAGACCTTTCAAATGTTTTGATGCCCAAATGTTATATGGGTGTGATTCACAATTTCATGTTGTGTCAGAGAGTTGTATTATTTAATTTGTTGGCTTAATGGAGACTTAGTCTTCCTCATGTTAACACTGCATTACAAGTGCTTTCTTTAAGCTTTCTTTAAATTACAAGTTTTTTCTTTAATTCTGTTAGGCCTATATGATCACACGTCTCAACTGTTTAGCTGCCATTATAATAGCTGTTTTAATGGTGAATGTTACACTATTACAATGCTGTTTTAATAAATAAATTCATACATTCATAATAATCAGTATGGTGTTTTTGTAGTATTTTATACCGAAAACCTTTTTTTCCATTTGAGTAACACTATAAAATATCAAAATGAACTCTAGTTATGAATTAAATTTTACTCTGTGGTAGTAAAAATGTAACTCCATGAGAGTTTAGTTTTAACTCCTAAAAAGAGTTGAATAGTTACTGTCACTCTGCACTCAAGGTTATTCAGTGGTCACCAGTGTTGGGAAGGTTACTTTTAAAATGTATTCCATTACAGAATACATGCCCCAAAATGTATTTTGTACGTGTTACGTTACTCAATGAGAGTAACGTATTCTGAATACTTTGGATTACTTAATATATTATCATTCAATTCAATTTTATTTATATAGCGCCAAATCACAACAAAAGTCACCTCAAGGTGCTTCATAGATACAGAGAAAAACCCAACAATCATATGACCCCCTGTGAGCAAGCACTTTGGCGACAGTGGGAAGGAAAAACTCCCTTTTCACAGGAAGAAACCTCCGGCAGAACCAGGCTCAGGGAGGGGCGGCCATCTGCTGCGACCGGTTGGGGTGAGAGAAGGAAGACAGGATAAAGACATGCTGTGGAAAAGAGACAGAGGTTAATAACAGATATGATTCAATGCAGAGAGGTCTATTAATACATAGTGAGTGAGAAAGGTGACTGGAAAGGAAAAACTCAATGCATCATGGGAATCCCCCGGCAGCCTACATCTATTGCAGCATAACTAAGGGAGGATTCAGGGTCACCTGGTCCAGCCCTAAATATATGCTTTAGCAAAAAGGAAAGTTTTAAGCCTAATCTTAAAAGTAGAGATAGTGTCTGTCTCCCGAATCCAAACTGGAAGCTGGTTCCACAGAAGAGGGGCCTGAAAACTGAAGGCTCTCCCTCCCATTCTACTTGCTGTTTACAACTACATGAATGTGATTTATTACTATTACTGAAGGTCCGCGGCTCATAGCCGAAAACTAGCTTTACTTTGTTGCCCGGGTCAGGTTTGCTAGCGAGAGACAGAGAAAGGCTGCTCCAACGGAACTTATTGTTTCAGAGGAAAACAGGAACACCGCGTACAATTGAGTCTTAATAGCTTACTTACAACTGGGCTCATCAGGCACTCTTCTTGGCTGCAGTGGTTATTATTATTATTATTATTATATTTACATGCTTCCAGCTAGAGCTGGGCGATATGAGATTTTTTCATATCACGATATGTTTTTTTTTTTCATTTCAGGCGATAACGATATCTATCACGATATAAGCCAAATAACTATATTTGTAAGATTTAAATGTGCCGTTGCTCACAAGTAAAATGTGAAATAATCAGCAGCTTGTTTTGATTTAAATATTTATTTCCCATAATAAGTTCAACAGGGTAGATGTACTTAAGGAACATGAGACTTTTCAGATAAATAAAGGCAAATATTGCAAACTACACAAAAGGCAGCCGCTAAAGCGTTTAAGTTTCAAAATAGAACAAACAAAACAGACTAAATTGTCAATTCCACTTAGAAACAAAGTACTAATTCTAAAAATAAATCTTAGTTTGTTTTACAGAAGAACAGACAAAACTAACTTTTGTCAATATCAAATAAACTGAGAACTAAAAGGAAATTCTCAATCTCTCCTTGTTGTATAGCTGAGCTTTTCAAACAGTTTTAACAGTTACTTTAGTCTGACAAAAGCCGAATGACGAATTAGTGCTTCCAGTCAAAGACTGAGGCTACGTCCACACGTACACGGGTGTTTTTGAAAACTGAGATTTTCCGTTTTCGTTTTAAAAAAAATAATCCCATCCACACATAAAGGCAGAAATGAAGGAAAACGCTGCTATGAACATGCCAAAGCAGCAGGTGGCGCTAGATTCCTAACCGTGCAGAAATGTTGGCCAATCAGAAGTCTAGAAGCCTCGGTGGGAAAAAGTAAACAAAGCTGCGGCATAGAAGCAGAACCGAGTCGTATGTGTGGACGGACAGTAACTGTGTGTATATGTAAGCATTTAAACACTGCAGAGAGTAGAATTAACAGTATTGTAGAAATTCATTTCACCGAAACAATAACGTGGCGCACAGTGTGACGCATGCACCAGTTTATTGTATTTCCAGACTTGCTTTCGGCACAATTTACAGTGAACGCTACTCTGTTTTTTGTCAGACTTGAAATAGCCGAAATACCTTCACACTACGGAACTTCTATGGCTCTTCCGTTCGACAATCTCTCCGGCATTGGAACCATCATCGGTTTTCTCTTCGGTCACGCTCGGTTGATTTTTCTAGTCGGCACACTCATTTCCCCCATTATGTGCTGGCTCCATTACCCGCTGGCTGCTTCCCAAACAAACACACGTGCGGCTTGGCACTTGTGCTGTACGTAACAAGTCACGCGACGTGACGCTGCGGCTGTGATTGGTTCGCTCTGCGCTACTTAATTTGGATTGGCTGACCTTTTTTTTTTTTTTTTTTTTTTAGAGGACAAGAGCGGCGAGGTCTATCGCGATAGCTTAATTTCTCTATCGAGTAAAAGTTATATCGCGATACATATCGTTATATCACCCAGCTCTACTTCCAGCTCCCGTTTCTGCTCAGTGACAGCTCGTACTTTTCCTTTTTCTCCCTCCTCGCGCTCAGACACATAACGGGTATGGCAGTCCATTCTCGCTGCAGCACGGACTACACTGCCCATGAGGCTACATTCTTTAGGGCTATACAGTCATTGGGCTATGCCTGTAGCATTCTGCCTATTAGCTTAGCACAACAACAAGGCGCTCTCTCACCCAGGAAACACACAGTCGCAGAGAGACCGCAGACCAATAGCGGTGGTTTTGTTTATTAACTTCACCATTCACATAAAAGTTCGCCTCATCACTGAACAAAATCTTCTGCGTGAACTAAGGGTTCTGTTCCAATTTTTGTTTTGCCCATTCTGCAAATTCTGTGCGCTGATCTGGGTCATCCTCGTTGAGATGCTGCAGTAGCTGGAGTTTATAAGGGTGCCATTTGTGAGTAGCCAATATCCACCAAAGGGATGTTCGACTAATGCCACTCTCCAGTGACATGCGGCGAGTGCTACGCTGTGGGCTCTTGCTGAATGAAGCTAGGACAGCCACTGATGTTTCTTCATTAGTGACAGTTTTCTTGCGTCCACATTTTGGCAAATCCAACACTGAACCAGTTTCATGAAACTTAGCAAGCAGTTTGCTAACTGTAGCATGGGAGATGGGTGGTCTCGTAGGGTGTCTTGCATTGAAATCTGCTGCAACGATCCGGTTACTGCGTTCACCAGATATCAACACAATTTCGATCCACTCCTCACGTGTTAACCTCTTCGACATGTCAATGGCTGTGAACAAAGAGAAACTTGCAAATAACTCATGAAAGAATAAAGTTAACACTTTCAATTCTCTTAAAACTTTGTCACCAACTTTGAAGACAACATCTCTCGTCATCATTTTTATTTTGCTCTGTTTTTTCCTGTGCTTTGACCACACTGTCCTTCACCAGTTTCAACAGCTTTTGAATGTCTTGCGAAAGCAATGTCTATTATTACTATAATCTGTGTAAGACACACAGATCATAGATAAAAGAACTGAGAAATAAAGTGAAAATTAACATTAAGTGTCTTTGGTAAGGTTTTAAGACAATGCGTTTCTGGTACAGCTTCAGTGTATCTTGGGATTGATTGTACATGAAGAAAACTTATTGGGGGATGGAACAATCCATAAAAATATTCAGTGGTGTAGTGCTTTTATGCATGCATGTATTGAAACTGATCTGCCTGTGCCTCAAAAACTTACACAGGTTCTTTGTGGGATTTTCATGTAGTTTGTCACAGACAGAAAGACATACCATGTACTCTTCTGGGATTTCGGCTGGATAATGAGCCTCTCTGCCAAATATCAGGTAATATGGTGAGTATTTGGTGGTCATTTGCTTTTTAGTTCCAAGGTCCAAACATCACAGCATCCAGATACTCAACCCACAATTCTGGATGGTCACCAACAACCTTACAGAGGCCTCTGACAATGAAAGCACATGGAAAACATTCATATGAAAGATCATTTTAATTTTTTAATAGTTAAATGTCATGCATTAATGTTTTAGTTGAAGTGAATCCCATAAAAGTATAACATGTTATGCATTAAGCTGCATGCACTCCAATTTACCTCTGAATGGTGCCATTCATTCTCTCCGCCAAGCCATTGTTTGTGGGTGATAGAACGAGCAGAGGCTTCTTTTAATGTTTAACAATCTGCATATCCTTCTGTTGAGCTGCAAAAGCAAGTAATATACACTGACTATAAGCACATTACAATAAGAATTTAAATATACAACAGTCATACTAATATCTCAAAAAGAGATTTATAAAGACCAGAAATGGAACCATTTTCAAAAAGGTAATCAAATATGTGTCTGAAGGAAACGGTTTCCAGGGCCTAATCCGTGGATCGACTTCCTTCGAGGCGTGGACGTCTATCAGCAGAGAATGTACCTTCACCTATCAGCAGAGAATGTCCCTTAGTCTGTAACACAGTCAAGTATATTCTCAAGTAATATTCAAGCATGCCATTCAGCGTGTTAGTACGAGCTCGGGAGCAGCTTGGGAGAACAAGAAAACAGAGACTGCTTCAGGTTGTCTTCCCAAATTGACTCAACTTTATTCACAAGTACAACAGTTTATATAGAGGGTAAAATTCATGAGACAGCAGATTATCAGTTTAAACCAGTACAGACCAAGATAAGGCAGCGTCTTCCTGCCTTTGGGTGAAGAAGCATCCTTTGTGTAGTTTATCAGTTCAGCTACAATTGTGATTATCTCAGCGACATATTTTCAAGGCACAAAACGAAGAGTTCTTACATTAGTGAAATCTGAAACAAACCATTTGGCCTTCAACAGGCGTCTCCTAAAAGATTAAGAAACTAATGTAGCTGAGGGAGTGATCTCTGTGGTATTTCAACCTTGTACCAGCCTGTGATTCTCACACATCAATTCTTGGGTCAAAGAGAAAAATAACTAAAACAAAGGGGCCTTATTGAATGACAGAGTTTTCCTGCATAATGTCACTATAAAACAATATCCAGTAAATGCTCCCATGGTGCTAAAATACCTAACAGTTCCACTCTTTTTTATTATTATTTTTTTAAAATAATAACTCAAATAGAAAGGAAAAATCACAAATGTAATAACATAATATAAAAAGCAAATCATAAAATGTAATAGTTCACAACCTAATGTTCAATATACACATCAGGAACATCATGGTAACATCTGGCACATCCTCAGGATCAATTTGTGCCAATTGCAAATACATTGAAGTAGCTGTACTGGTAGCTATATGGGTTATCATTGAGCATACACAGGGTATCACACAACAGGCAATAATCATCAAAAACAAAATAATACATGCTACAACTGTTACAAAGGCTACAATTAGTTCCTTCCATTTTCCAAACGTGTCCTGCATCCACTTGTCTAGCCACTGACCGTGACCTGTATTGGCTCTTAGTTCTATCTGCAATGCTTCAAGTTTATTCATAGTATTTAGTATTTAGTATTTATTTATTTATTGTCATTGTCAAGAACAATGAAATTGCGTTTGGGGCTTCCATACAACCCAAAAAAAAGAAGAAAATAATAAATACCCCTTAAAACCCAAGTGTACATATTTAACCCAGTGTGACTCCAATGCAATAAGACAATCCTTAGCAATAATGTTCGTAGATAGCTTGTGTGAATGAACCGTCAGGGGCGGTATTATTGGGAATGAAAGTACAGCAAACATCTTCAAACATAGCACAAACACCTCCTTTCTCAGCTAACAGCATATCTAAGGCCATTCTATTTGCATGGTCATTAAGGAGGTAGCAGACATCTGTTCTCCTAGGGCTTTAAGGGCCGTATTGGTCAGATTGGTGTGTCTTTGCTGATTGTAATAAACATAATTGATCCAGCCTACATTTTTGTTTACCTGTATCCACGGTAGTATTGAGGCGAACCCTGCTGATATTTCTCCTTGTGCCTTTAATTCATTTGGTATCCCGCGTGGAACTCCTATAGCATCTATGTAAACGTTATGTGAATAAGCGGCGCGTTTCGTCCGTCTGCTGGATACAGGCAGATCCGAGGTTTGTTGTATCAGTAGTTCTTGAGCTAAAGTTACTAGACCACAGGTGCCGGTCCAATTAACAGGTAAGGCTAATCTAAGAGTATTATTGCACATCCAATAAGCATGTGGGATTGGTCTGGTCAGGCGCGAAGCTGTAAAGCCTTTTAATATGCCTCCCCAGTACGAGTCGTTTAGTGTGTTGGGCGAATGCAGGATTGTTGAGTTATCTGAATGCGTACTTATAGATGCATGTATATAAGAAAACATATGTCTATATTGTGTCCTGTCAACACTCGCTGCTAGCCATGTTTCGTTACAGCGTGCTCCTGGAGAGTCAGAAAAGAATGTATAGTTTTGTGCGTCATAATTCATGTTTTCAAGTTTTGGTCAGTGTATGCATGTCATCAAGATATTGGGTGATGGCGCACCTGTGTTGGGGGCGAAAGAGGTTCAGTGCGGTCTTCGGGGCGCTTCATTGGGTTGCAGGGGTGGATAGGGTTGTCAATCATGCTAACATCCTTACTAGAGACTTGTCCTGTGTATATGAATAAACAATCTAAAGGACTTAGTTCTACTCGCACCGCTTCAATCAGGGTTACTGTTAAGGGCCCCTTTTTATCATTTTTGAATAGCATCTTTGTTAAGGGAAAACCTGAAATTGGATATCCCACTATTACCTGTTCTGGATTACCCTTTGAACAGACATAACAATTACGGTTTCCTAAATCACGAGCGGCTATTCTGGCATTTTCATACCAGGCGTTAGTTCCTGTTCTAGGGGGTGCATAAAATGGTTTATTGGTGGTGTCTGTGTTGCTTTCTACTGATTTTAGAGAACGTGACGAGTGTACTAGGTGGGTGTCTTGCCAAGTGGAGCATGAGGTATTGTCAGCAAAATGTGGCTTGCAGAAATGTGAACAGGGTTGCAGTTTACAATACGAAATAGTAAATAAAAATCCTAAGGTTAATGCAGTAGATATGATTAATAACCTAAATATATAAAAAACACAGTTCTTCAGTCGTCTCCTGGCCTGGGGTGAAGAAGCATCCTTTGTGTAGTTTATCAGTTCAGATACAATTGTGATTATCTCAGCGACATATTTTCAAGGCACAAAACGAAGAGTTCTTTCATTAGTGAAATCTGAAACAAACCATTTGGCCTTCAACAGGCGTCTCCTAAAAGATTAAGAAACTAATGTAGCTGAGGGAGTGATCTCTGTGGTATTTCAACCTTGTACCAGCCTGTGATTCTCACACATCAATTCTTGGGTCAAAGAGAAAAATAACTAAAACAAAGGGGCCTTATTGAATGACAGAGTTTTCCTGCATAATGTCACTATAAAACAATATCCAGTAAATGCTCCCATGGTGCTAAAATACCTAACAGTGTCCAAATATTTTTGCCAAAGACTAAAGTACTTACAGAATTGACAAATTTTTTGCCTTGGTCACTGAGAATCCTTTTTGGTGCTTCGAACTGGTGGACAAATTTTATGAGACAGTTTGTCACATCCTTGGCTGATTTCGACCTCAAAGGGTGTGCTTGTGGCCATTTTGTGAAATAGTCAATAAAAACACAAATATACTGATGTCCGCTGTTGGTTTCAGTAGGTTTCCCAATAATGTCCATCCCAACCAATTAAAATGGCTGAGAAACCTTAAAAAGAAAAACATAGTTACATTAATTAATTGTTGCAGCACTTGCCTGACAAACTGCACACTGGGAAACCTAATCAAAAACAAAAGCAATTCAGTAAGAAACACAACAGTAAATTAATTTGAGAGATACAGAAACATTGCTGTGTTCATCTTAAAATAAGTTAGCTGTAGTAGAATTACAGAGTTTCTTTTGAGTACCCACCCAATTATTGACGTCCAATGACATCCCTGGCCAGTAGAAACGCTTTGAAATGGCTTCTCTTGTTTTTGTTTAGGTCAAAGAAAGGTCAAACTAATTAAGACTAATTAAGACTACACATTTTGCCATTGTGTGTGTGTGTTAATATATGTATTGATGAGGTTTATAAACGCTACGAAGTTGCTGTTATTACCTTCAATGTCGTAAATAGCAGCTTTTCTTCGGAGAAGAAATTTCTCTTTTTTCGTGAAAAGCGCTGGATACTCGCCTTTTAGTTTATTTGCAACCAAACTCTTGTACTCGTCTGGTTCCATCCTCTTGTGGTGTTGGTTATAAAATAAATTGTTATCTTCTCGTTAGCTCAGAGGAACTCGGGTTTTCACAACGTGAACTAATTTGAATAATTAACGAGGAAACCCACGTGACCTAAGATTTTGGAAAAATGTGTCAATGTTGGAGTCGAATAGGCCTACGAAAGGTTGCCCAAAACTGACTTGCAAATTTTTGAAAAGCCCTGTTACTGACAAAGACGTGTATATTTATATGTTTTTTTTATTTAAATTATTTATTGTCAAAGAAAAACTGCTAACGTTTATTATTGATGGAGAGGACACACATTTTGGCAGACGCTGCCACACAGCCTGATAAAATCTGTACCCCTCTATAACCTTTGCTGGGAGGAAGAAATCCTCTCCAGAGTTACTGGGGTTATTGGTTATACTCTGATTTATTTTGCAAATAAACTCCTTCGTGATAGCACCGCTAATGTGCATTACAGAAATGTAAACCATAGTATCAACGTCTTTGTTTGGACAAACTATTCCCAGCAGATACTGGGAAGCACTTACTTCAATAGTCTTCCGCACGGCACATTACAATGTCACGAAGTTAGTATTAAAATCCATTCACGAATCGAGTCTGTTGTTTGTTTTCCAGGTTTACGCTTTATTGCGCGGATTGCAGATCAGTGACAAGTAGCGTACAGAAACGAAGCTGGGCAAGTGGCTCCTCCTCCTTTGCGCGCTCTCGTAGATTGGGAAACAGTTTTTGCCGGGGGTAACTACTTTTGGCAGGACACCTGAAACACAGGAGGCATACAGAAGTTGTTCCTCTCTGATGAAATATCCACATAGCATTGCGCTCCCGCTGCACTTACCGTGAGCCACCATGCCTCTGAGGCTGTCTGCTGCAAAAAGCCCGCTTTCCAGATATTTCCAATCTCTGCAC